TCAGCCCAAGATCAATCATTCATCATCTACTCACAGCTGCTTCAGACCCCCGTAAATACACCCCAATAGCAATATCAATCACCGTCTATCATGTCCAACAGTAGCTACATCAACGCACTAGTACGCTATCTCTACGAGGAGAGCCAGGAGCACAACGTTAGCACGTTAAGCCTCGCCTCGGGCTACAACCTCCATGGCAAACAACTGAAGTCGGACACTATTAAGTCCTATATTCGTCATGTTTCAACTTTCCTGATGCGTTTTGGGGGTCATGACCCACGCTATGACAATGTTGGGGATACAAAAATGTCTCGTTATCTTACTTCTATCTTCGATGAAGTTTCCTGCCATGAAGGTGTTCGTGATAAATGCGAACCATACACTTTACGCCTCCAGCAAGAGTTGGAAGCTCGTATCCTCCGCGATGCCGTTGATCGTGACAGTCTGTTGGCCGCCCTTGCAGACTGGTTTGTTTGTCACTTGATGACTGGGTGCCGGCTCTCCAAATGGGCCCAGACATCTGCTGGTATTGAATTTGGGCAGCACGCTCGAGATTGCGATGGCGTTCCCCTCGCTTTTTGTATTGAAGATATCGATTGCCGCGACGCCAATAACGCCAAGGTACCGATTGCAGTTTTTCTCCACCATCCCGAGAAAGTCCACCGGATCTATATCCGATGGACACACCAGAAGAATGGTGACCATGGTGAACTCCGTTTGTTCACGCTTAACACTTCCAACCCGGCACGCTGTTTCATCAAGCGCATGCACTCACTCATCTCGCGGTTTTACCGCCTTATGGATGAATCGTTGCCCACTGGCATTCCGCTCTCCGTTTACCGCTCCGACGGCGGTAAGGTAACCAACATCCATGATGCCGTGATCACCAAAGTGATGCGGGACCTCGCGATTCATGTCTACAAATTGGATCCTACCAAAGACAAGATCAAATTCTCGTCTCATTCCCTTCGCGTTGGCGCTTGTGTTGCTCTACATGCCCTCGGCTTCACTTTGGACCAAATCAAATTCCTCCTCTGATGGAGGTCTGTTGCTTTTATGACATATCTCCGCAATATTGCGGTCCTTTGCAACAAGCATAACAATGCTTTGAATATCCTGGACAGTATGCCAAACCTACTTTAGCACTACTTTCAACTCCACTCCTGGGGTGGGTCTATTCCCTTCCCCCCACTTTTTCTTTTTTCTCCACTTCATGCGCCCGATGTGGCCCTTGTATTATTTTCACTTCCTCCTTTCTGTTGGAAGTGGCCGCACACGTTTTTCCGTGGCTTGGTCTTTCATCCTTTGCACCTTTGCTCGGTAGCTATATTGCCGAGTTTACTCTCACTTGATTCAAGTCCACTATCGACTCTTTTGACTCGAACGTGCTTCCCAGACCATAAGCTAATTCCTTCGCTACAGGCCATCTACCCCGCGTATCAAACACGCGGTATTCGTAGCTCTCTGTAGTGGTGCAATACGTGTGTTTATATACAAGGTCCTACACATCGCTCTTATCGGGACATGAGGTAGAGGCGACGCCAGGTTATCCGCAGGTTAACCCAAACACTCGAATTTCCCAAACACTCGAATTCGAGATCCCAAACACTCGAATTTCCCAAACACTCGAATTCGAGATCCCAAACACTTGAATTTTTTCCAAACACTTGAATTTTTTCCAAACACTCGAATTTTCCTAAACACTCGAATTTGAACGTGTTGACGAGGAATGAATCAAATCAGTTTGTACATATATTTTTAACGCTTGAATTGATTCATATTCAAACACATTGAATATGGCGTTGAAATGAGTCGGTTGCTAATTTGTAACGGAAGAATTTCGAGGAGGAAAAAGAGTGCTTCATTTTAGGGGGCGAAAGTTGGCCCCTTAAATAAACCTATTTACCCGCATCTTCGGCCGCACGGAAAGCGGAGCGAAACTTGCGGGGGGGTCCTGCATCAATTCCCCTCATAACAAAGTAGGAACAGTGCTATTACGGCAGTTGCTTGCAATGCATTGTAGGACTCGTTCCTCCCTGCACCTAATGCTATGTGTAGCGATATCTCTTTTCGTCACAGTGCTATCCAGCAACGAAGCTAATAACCATTCCGGAATGGTGCAAGTCTTGGAAACAGAAATATGGGATGAGGCAAACCAAACATGGAAGGCTAGGGGCGAGCGTTGGACGACTGCAGAGGGCCAAGTATCAGCCCCTCCCTCAGATGTGAAGGCGCCTGAAGGATTTGAATTCGAGGGAGAATGGAAGATTGTAGTTAGTTCTGGTGATTCAATGGGATGGGAATACGAATTTCAATATCTGCGCCCTCCGAAGCGAAAACGAACATGGCTGAGAAGTCTCAAACAAAGTGAGAAATCATCAAAGAAATCCGTTTCGAAAGCCGTCGATCGATGCAAGACCATGAAGAGATCAGATAAATCTGTTTCAGAAGCCATTGATCGAACCACGGCCATTGATGGAGCTAAGGGGAGTATTGATGGAGCTAAGGGAAATTTTGCTAGAGGTCTTTCGTTGATAAGGGATGATTTCAACTTCAAAGGATTTGGACTATCCATTTTTAAATCGCTTATTTTCCCCGAGAGTCTAGGACTGTCATTGCGGCTGCCTCTTTCCAACAATTTTGATACTTGGGATCGTCACCCTGAGCTCCCGACCATTTCCACAAGCGTTTCTCTGATGTTTCCTTGGACCATAGCCGTGTTTTGTAACAGCAGCGTGCGAGTGGAATGGCTCAAGTGGGCTGTGAAACGCACGCTGCAGTTCATTCCACGGCTTATCATACACTGTGTCTATGAGGTTTTTCTTCCTTCTTTGTGGGCGATAGCAGCGGCGATGTTGTCTCTGACAAGTGCTCGTCTTCCTCCTATTCCGAAAGCCCCAACAATATTGATTGCGAAACCACGATACAATCCTGAAATCTCTGAAAGGGTCGGTTGTTCATTGAGCTATAGGTGGTCAAGGGATCGTGGGTTTCAATGGAGAGTAGGCTATTGGCATTCATATCTGCCCACTCTGGTGGCATGTCGAAAATTGTTGCAGATGAAAAGTCCTGCAGATTGGTGGCAAAAGCACTTTGGTTCCGTCGGTCTCAGTACGAGCTACCCAATCCCAGTGTCTCCCGGGTTTTCCTGCTCTGCCCAGCTTTCATTAAGTGGTTTATATTTTGAAAGGAAGAAGGAAGTGCGTCCTTCACAGTCGTCAAGAACAGTCCACAACGCTATTGCAAAAAACACAACGGAGTCAGTTCAAGTTTCTTCTCGTGATTCTGGATCATTCCCTTCCCCTAAAATTGCAGCAACAGCTACTGTCTTTTCATCTACATGAGAAATGAAAATCTGATTACAAAATCAAAAGAGGTCACAAAGTTAGAACCACTTGAAGATTTGAATTATTCATTTCAACCTTTGTCCCACTCACATGGCGAGTACATTATTTGGAATGGCGAGGCAGGTCTTCAATAATTATTTTGCTTTGCAAGCCGTCTCTCATCACGATGATCCGTATCATTTCTTGAATTTGTTTTGTTTGACATCAATAAAATCGATCACTGAGCAAGAGCGGATGTATAGATCGCATGGCGCTTTCGCTTGGATCGAGATGCAGCCACTGGTGAACTTATATTTGGAATTAGTGGGTGCTCGAATTTCAAAAGGCTCTGTCAGACTCCTGTGAAAACAGAAACGTAACTTCAAAATCGAGCTGCACTAGCGTTCTCATCGATGGTATTGATTCATGCATGCTTTCATTTCATGGCTGCGGATGTTGCAACAATCATTATAAGAAGTCAAAATATAATAGTGTTGTCTAAAAATAACTACTGGAACGAACACTCTTCAGTGTCGACTCCATGCCAAATGCACGAGAAAGCACCACCTTCCAAGCTTTCCTCGGCATCTTCTGTTGTCAGATCTAGACAGGTAGCAGCGAATTCTTTCAGGACCTCGACATCTGCATCAATGGGTGGTGGCGATTCCCATGCCTTTAGTCCACCGCTTGCAGAAACTCCATTCTCTCGAAGCATTTTCAGCGCAAGCTCTGGACTTGGCCTGCCAAAAAAGATTTGTGTTTCAATCGGGATCCAGGCAAAGGAGAAATACTCTTGCGAGATCAGTATCAACTGGCCTTCCATCCACTGCCCATTGGAAAACCTAGGCTCGGCAACATGTCCAAGGCCTCTATATCTCGGTAATTGTTTTGTTCCCCACTTCTTTGCAGCCTTTTCTGTCAAACTTATTGGTTGAAGCGGCATATCCATCTTGCCACTGCCAATGGCTTTAGGTTTGATTGGGCTCAAATCGACTTGGAATGTTATTTCTCCTTTTGGTACATTCTATTGATGGGAAATGGCATGAGGCCAATACAGCTCTAAAATTGCGTGTGAACCATTGTCTACATACCTTGTCTCCTGTTACCTTGTATGCAATAAGTTGATCTCCTTGATATGTGACATTGATCATTTCGTAGCCGTGATGTCCGTACCTTGAAGAAAGAATCACTCATTTGTAAGTCATATGCAGACATCAATATTCTCTGACAGTGTTTTTCGCAACCTACTTTCCCACCCAAAGTCCCTCTAGATTGAAAGCCGGAATGCAGCCCCTTGCCTCCATCGCATTCTCACCGTGTCGTTCAGCGTCATCTGTCTTTCCGGTTGCCTTTGCGAGCTGCAAATCTTTGAGTTCCATCTCGTACACCAGTTCAGGATCCTGTTGCTCTATCTCCCGAAGCTGTGAACGAACTTTGTCTTCCACTTCAGGTGTACCATCACTAATCGCGTCCAATAGTCGTCGACTAAGTTTGTTCATTACAGACCTCAATCGCCATAGGTCATCACCGTATGAAACAAATTTCTTGCCTGTTTCCTTATCTTTTCGTTTTCGTTCCATTCGGATGGAAGATTCTTGAACGGGCTCGAGGTTCTGAAATTCTGCTTGTCTATTGCTTGTCGGCTCTTCAGGAGACTCGTCTTCAAATTGAAATGAAGTGAAAAGAGAACGCGTTTCTCTCAAAGCACCATTTCTCGGCACTATAAAGGAATAGACTCCTTTGCTAGCAAGAAGAAACGATAGGCATACAAGGAGAAGCGACAAAGCTGTGCGGTAGGGCTTGGTCATCGTTGAGGACTGCAGAATTCGTTGATCCTTTTCGTGATTTTATGCCGTGAATTCTGATTGATGTTTCGTGCGTGTGGAGGTACAGTATCTTCCAATAAAACATAAAAAATAGCTCCACTTTCAGACCACGTCAGCAGACACCTCCTTAATCAGAAAAACAACAGTCTAAACAAGAGAAGGGGCTGGTGTCAAACCAATAAATCGACGTCATTAATTCCCGTAAACATACTGTATGATACTGTTTGGTTTTCTTCGTTCGTTCGTACCAGGTACGTGTGAAACTTTCCAGCTCATCATCTTCGACACGATTTTCTGGGTTCGTTGGCTGCTATTCCTTTCCAACTACAATACCTAATTCCCAAACACTCAAGATCAGTCAAAGCCCAGTTTAAAAGCATGTACCGCACTTTTCTCTATTTCTCTCTTGCGCTTTCTGGATCTGTCCAGTCTTTTGCTCCAATGTTTCCTGGTACACGAATGCAGTCAGGAGTCACAACAAGAATGGTCGCCGCACCTCCAGATGGCTTCGAGGAATTGCCGGAAAATCGAATGGATCGGCAGTTTGGAAAGGGCAAAGTAGATGGTGCTGAGAAGAAAGGAACGTTTTTGAATGGCGATGAACTTCATCAGCTGAGACACCAAGTGATGGCGATGCGGTTGGAACTGCAAGAAGCAAGAAGGACGGGAACTGAGCTTCTTATTCGAGAGCTTGAAAAATCCATAAGAAATGCTCAGCAATTGGATGCCGAATGGATATGGGCGGTCGAAAATGAACGTCAAGTCAAGGCGGAGGAAAAGGGGCGATTTCACGAAGCAGAGAAGCATAGAAAGCTGGCCATGGAAGCGAGGAATGCGCTGCCACAGTTTGGTCTGGAGGGTCTCTGGGTAGGCAAATATGGAGAAGAACAAGGATACGAAATGATCAACGTGACATATGCTAGAGACGTCCTTGTTGCAACAAAAGTGACTGGATCAAAGAATGTACCAAAAGGGCAAGTGACTTTCGAAGTCGACTTGAATCCCAGAGCTGAGAGAGAAATTCTTGAACCAATCAAGCTTGGGGAGAGCGCAGCAAGACAATGGGGTTCTAAATACTTGCAACGTTTCCTCGGTAAAGGGCAAATCAGCGCAGCAGGGTTCGAGGACTCTCAGTTTGTGCAGGGCAACCTAATACTCGTGAACGAATATTTCAGTTTTGCATGGTTGCCTATAGGCCACCAAGTGTTCTTTGGCCGTCCGACTCCTGGACTTGTTCTCAAGCTTCTAAAAGATGATCAGAACCAATCGGATGAGCGGCAGTTCCTAGAAAAGTGTTGGGACGAAACTCACCATATTGACGATCATCGTGAGGTTACTGAAAGTTTTGATGGGTGTTTTCAGTAGAGGCGACAATATCTTTGTATTTTATTTTAAAATGTATTATATTACAGATATATTCCTAGTATGATTATTCCAAACCAAAATAGAATACATTTCCAAGTCGAAACACTGGGAATACAACGCTAGAAATGGAAATAATAAGGCACAGGTACAGGTCCTGGTACACGTAGTGGGGCGTGGTTCTATGTTCGTTGAGGACTACTTTAGCTTCAAAAGCATCATCTAAAACAAACATTTTTTTAAAAAAAAACATCAACGATAAAATCATCAAGAATGATTGTCTTGAATAGACGACTTCGATTTTGGCTCTCTGATAGGCTAAAATGTCGTTCATTACAGGTGCAATCTCCGTCGAATGGTTTTCGACGGGCGTTCAGTGCAAAATCAAATTCAGAGAACCACGTGACTATTTACAACTCACTGTCGAAGGAGATCGAAAGGATTCCAGAGTCGAGCAAAGCAATTGCTTGGTATACTTGTGGTCCGACTACATGTAAGTAGAGATCTGACAATCAATTTGAAATAGGAAGCTCGTCTCATTTTCGCTGCAGATGCACCTGCGCACTTGGGCCATGCTAGAACCTACGTATGTATTGACATCATGCGAAGGGTACTAGAGGCGCACGTTTCGAAGCCTCCATTGTTTACGATGAACATAACAGATATTGACGACAAAATATTAAAAGCTGCAAAAGATAATGGGGAGTCTCCCCTTGATTTAGCTCGGAGGTATGAGCGCGAATTTTGGGAAGACATGGACTCGTTGAACTGTCTCCGACCACATGTTGTGGCTCGTGTAACAGAACGAGTTGAATCTGATATTGTCCCTTACATAGAGACTCTGCTTGGCAAAGGAATGGCATACGAGACAGAAGACGGGGTCTATTTTGACGTCAAAAATTTTAGTCTTAACACCTTCTCGAAATATGGGAAGTTATCGCCACATGCAACAACCGAACAGGCTGCTGAAATAGAAGTTTGCGATGCCAATTTGAAGCGAGATCAGAGAGATTTTGTGTTATGGAAGAAACTGAAATCCACCGACTCGGTTTGCTGGGAGGCGCCATGGGGAAAAGGTCGACCAGGCTGGCACATTGAATGTTCTGCAATCATTGAATCGATTCAACAACAGTTCGAAGACACACATCATTTCAGCGTACATGCTGGTGGCGTAGATCTGAAGTTCCCACACCACACGAATGAAATCGCACAGGCTGAAGCCTATAGAGACGGTGAATGGATCAATCACTGGGTGCATACAGGACATCTTCACATTGACGGCTTAAAAATGAGCAAGTCCCTCAAGAATTTTATTTCGATTCGCGACTTTCTCGGAAAGTACGACGTGTCTTCGTCCGTGGAAAGCCCAGGTATGTACTTTGTGGTAATTGTGTAGCTGCTTGGGATATACTCATCCCCCCTTCTCGTCGGCTATAGGTGACGACTTTCGACTTTGGTGCCTTGGCTTGTCTGGGCCATACCGAGCCCCAGCTACGTTCTCTGAGAGCCGGCTATATGAAGCTCGCAATATAAGGCAAAAGATTTTGCGATTCCTTTATGGAGGAGAAGCATGGCTGGCAGCTTCGAATGGTGATGTCAAGCTGTGGAATGATAATGATTTTGAGATTCATATGCTCTCGTTGGGAGCAAAACGCACTTGCACTTTGGCTCTTCAGAATGATTTCGATGGATCGGAATTTCTCACTGAACTGATGAGAGTAATTGAGGCAGGAAACATATACTTTACCAATAGACCCAACGGGCCCACCGAAGTCGTACGGACAGCACTTGGCAATGTTCGCGAACTTTTGCGCCTGGTAGGTTTTTCAAACAAGACAACTGACGCTGGGCTTGGTCATGAAAACAGGAGGGCTTCACTTGAAAACAGCAACAACCACCAGGATGCTGACATGTTGGTTTCGTTGAGGTCAAGGATGAGAAAGATAGCACTGGATCAAACTTCGAGGGATCAAGTGTCAAACGATCTGTTGGAACTCTGCGATGAACTTAGAAACTCGATGCTCGACCAAGGAGTAGAGATTTTAGATAGCCAACATGGGGAATCCGATGGATGGCGCCCTTGTTTGCCCAAATCAGTGAAAAAACAGACGATGCAATCCGGCAGCAGCAACAAAGGGCAGCAAGTCGAGTTACACACAGTTCCACTTGGAGATTTATTCAAAGCAGGAATATACGAAGGGCAGTATTCTCAATTCGATGCCAACGGTGTCCCAACTCATAATGCTGATGGATCCAAGGTCTCGACACGTTTGATGAAAAAGTTACTGAAGAAGCGAGAGATTCACACAAAAAGACTTGCGCAAAAGATTAAAGAAAAGTAGCAGACTTAATTATACCGGTAGGACTTTATCAAGCTAGAATGTGACTTCGTAAGCACTGCCAGTGACGTCATCTTTCCATCGCCAGATTGCAATCACTTTTAACGCTACGAATCATAAAATAAAAGTAACCCTACTTTCTGAGTGCTTCTTAAAGAAAAGGAGTGGTAAGACAAGTGTATTGACAGACAGGTCCAGCACTGATCCACAAAAACGAACCGTGCTGGGTATAAACATCGATTGATTTAATCTTCGAAGACCGTGACATCCGAAAGCTCATGGGAAGTGGGTAAGCAACGACATTTTGCCGAAGCTTACTCCACAAACCAACTACGGATAACGCCTATAGACTTCGGTCGAAAAACAATACAATACAACACACCGACATACCTTAGAAATCGAGAGCGGACCCTCCAGAGTTCGACGCACAACCAAAGGTCTGGGTTTTCTTTTTCTCAGGATTCGTTCCTGCCCCTGACCGAACCCCAGAGCCCACGCTTCCTCCACCTCGGGCATAGTCTTCAGGCGGGATGTGCAGAAGAGAAATATGTAGCTTTCGTCTATCGCGTTTGAACCCATAGACAAAAGCAGCTGGTCTCTTGGAAAAACTAATGTCCCCAAAAAATCCACCACCAGTTGCAGCTGCGGAAGTCACTGTCGAGATTTTGGATATTGTCAAAATACCTTGCAGCAAGCGAAACTCCGGTGGTGGTGGATGAATCCTGCGAGCAGAAAATCCTTCGGTTTTGAGTACAACATCACAGGTACCGGACAGCCGCGACAAGGACTTGTAGTCCTTGCTAGGCTGAGAGTAGACCAGCAGCACAACCGCGACTTTGTGTTTTCGAACATGCGAAAGGAACAACGGCAACGCCACCGACATCAGAGCTGGATTTGTGTTGTAGAGAACCATTCGAAAAGCCTTTCCTTCATTCTTCTTCAGCAATGAAACCAACTCTCGAAATAGCAAGATTCCAGGAGAAAGCTTGCAGCATCCCCCTAAATCCCTAATCCTGACAATGTAGTCTGCGGGGTTGAGCGCTTTCTGGTCCGTCATTCGAGCAGAAAGGTCATACGAATGGCAGAAGGCATTTGATGACGAGCTCTGACTTCGTTGCTGAATAAAGGGTTGAGCCAGCATTTTCTCCTGCACCGATTTCTTGTACTGCCAGGCGATTTCAAGGCCTTCTTCGAAGTTTTCACCTTGATCATCCTCTTCCAGAACACTCAGGGCGGAAGGGGTGTCAATAGTTGATGGCGAGGCGCTCTGTTGCTCTTGTGTTTTCACCCAGTGTAGGTTCCGTGGAAGAGCCATCAAGAGCCGAAAAATCTCATCACTAACTATATTACGACCTTTGGTGGTTTGCGTTGAGACCGCGAAAGGGGAAGGACTGCTGTCTTCGACTACAGGAAAGACAAGATTTTGATCTTGTGAAACAGCCTGGAAAAGATGGGAGAAACTCGTGAGCATGCTTGGCGTTATCTTGAGGTTTCAAGAGAAAAAAACTAACCTCCGCACACCAATATTTTAGCAGGGAGTGCGCCAGGTCACGGGTCCAACGATCATCTTCCAAAAAGATACAGGTGCCAATTGGCTGCCCACCTCCAAGTACGTTATCCAGTTGATTCAAGCCGACAGAAGTCAAATGAATACCACCAGTCCAAGGTTTCACGCCCTGCAATGCAATCAACTGTTGGGGGCTCCTAGCAGACACAGTTGAACTTTTGGCCCCTCGTCCAAGCCGCCGGAAAGAGGACATCTCTTTTCATCGTGGAAAAATGAGATCAATGGATATTGATGGGTGGTGTCTGCGTACACTCTTGACGGTCGACGGACAATCAGCACCCCCGATTGACGGACGGGTATCATACCGCATACCGATATTGCAGTTTCTACATACGGTACCAGTACTAGGTGACGGGATCTGGTGCCATACATATCCAGGTTACTGCAATTCAAAAAATGCGACGCGTTTTGTCGCTGAGCAAAGACAGACGGACAACACCTTCAAAGATGAAAACGAGAGGTAAAACCAAATTGTGAAATTACTTTCTGATTCGATCAATCCCACTTCGATAGAAGTGAACTTGTCAAATCAATTTAAAGCTATGGTATTGAATAACATATAAAGAGGCAGGTTCACCAAGAAACACAAAATATATAGGTAGTGGTCTTGGGAACTAGGAACTTTCTTTTACACCAAGATAATATTCCAGTCGAGTCACATTTGACTAAGCAGAATCGATCGGACGGATTCATGACAGACGGTAGATACTGCACTCTGCTTTCCACCAAGATGAGGAAGGCGAGTAAGGAAGAGAAACAAGTTAGAGGCGACGATTGTAGGGCTTGAGTCGGCGGATGCTAATGAGTTCAGTAACATTGTTGCGACGTTGAATGGTGACAGTACCATTGACATGAACTTGAGTAGTAATGGTGAAAGGACCTGTAGCTCGAGCACCCATGATGATCTTGTGAGGCTTGTGGGCCAGGATCAAAACTTCATCACCAATGTTGTAGTTCTTGTAGCGGCGGCGCTTGTTCTCAGTGACGTTGTTACCGATGGCAACAGCTTGGCGTCGATCAGAGGCTTGTTCCAAGTCAACAATGGCAGGAACATTGAGAAGCATGTCACGACGGAAGACGATGGCAGCACCAGGAGAGGCACCAAGAGACTTGTTGACAGCAGTACGCATTGCACGCTGAACAGAGGCAAAGACAGTATCGATAACTTCAAAGGCAGTCCCGACGTTGTCAGGGATGTTTGCAGTTTGATAGGATCGGAGCATGTTGTCAATAGTAGCATGGGATCGCTCAACAATAGTGTTGGACTGCAGGTTCTTGACTGTGATAGGGACTCCAGTAATTCCATTGCAATTGAGGGCCAGTTGAAAGGTAGGAGCAGTGAAGGAACCAGCAGCATTGTAGATCACTCGGGTAGGATGAGGGTAGCAAGAAAGCCACTAATTCTTGAAGGTCAATGCGGAGGCTTCAGCAGACAAGGAGTCAACTCGACAAAGCTCCAACAGGTCGGATGCAATATCCATGATAGGAGTCAAAGCATGGAAGACAAGCTTTCCAAACTCTGATACATCGAGAGTCCAAGGACCATCATGGTCAAGGGCAACATCTTCAAAAGGAGCAGGATAGTCATCGTGAGGAGGCAAATGGCAGTAACCAGGGCCGTTGTTCTTGTAACGCTGACACTCATCACAGGTCTCAACAAAGGCCTTCACTTTTGCGCCGAGGCCAGGGAAATGAAGATGATTTTGAAGGGACTTGATGAGTCTGTCTTGACCACAGTGGCCAAGGATCACATGATACCAATGGACGGTTGAGTCATGCAAAGCTTCAGGCACAACAATACGAGGGTCGCCATTGACAATCTTGTTTACCATTTTATGGTCACCAAAGGCAGTAGTACCATAAGCACCATGTTGTACTTTTTCTTGAACTTGATCATCATCATTCTGGGCTTGTGATAGGGTCGCAAAGTCCAAGGGGAAGGTATCAATTGCTTCAGGGTAGTAGAGCATAATTTGCTTCAAGAGATCCTCTGTTGACGCAGGATCACCTTGCTCCTCCTGGGTAGGAAGAAGAGGCAAAGGAGACAAGCCATGGCAACCACGTTATCAGGACCAGGCTTGTAGATGACAGTTGGCAAGAATTCTTCCATGGCTACGCGCCATTTGAGAAGACGTTGGGATTGTAGGTTGATGCGAGTCAGATTGAGATGATCAGTGTAGATCTCGATCTGGGCTCCAAAGAGCATCGAACAATAGACTTCGAGCACTTCAATGATGCAAACGGCTTCTTTGTCGGGAGTTGGGTAGTTTTGTTGGGCGGAAAACTTGCGGCTCCAAATGAAAACAGGCTTGCTGTCTTGGTAGCCAATGTACCGGTACAAGAATCACTTTGGTAAATATGTAGACAAGTAAGTCAGGGGGCTACTGGGCGAGGAGTAGGTTGAGTCAATTCCCACATCAATCGCCCACTGATGTCCCTAAGGGGTAGCCATTGAACGTAGCCAAGATATAGAGCCTTGGTGTCATTTTCATCCAGGTCTTCTTGTTCAATGTCCTTTACAAGCTTAGATTCTCCAAACAGTTCCATCTTTAATTCAAAATGTTGCACAAACTTTTGTGCAGCTTTTTTAATGTTGAACTTTTCACCACGAAGAAATTTCAGGTGAAGCAAAGAATCGTTGATGTATGCCTCGTCCATTGATTCAACAAGCTTTAAGGCATCTTTCTTGGTACTCTTTTCAATTGCTGCCTTCATTCCCTCTAGAGCTTCTTGAACTGCCGTTGGAGTCTCATTAAATCTGTCTACAATTCCATGGACTTCCAAGTACGATTGCTCTCTGTCTTCGTGAGTCATGTCGTTCATGCATTGTGCGATGATTGAGTCGACTTCTCTGCTAACTTTTTCAAATTCAAAAGGACTAGTGGGTGATTCTATTGGATTGTTAGTATCCACCGTCTCGAACGTTGTGGAAGAGGATGAGAAAATGAGAAAGCTGTACCAATAATGTGAAGGTGTAACCTCAACAACAAGATGATGATGAGGCTGACTGACAAGTCGTGGAATTTTCTCCAGAGCCAACAAGTCTATTCTAACACCTCCATCCTTGCTTCTGATGTGTGGGCCAAGCGGACCTGGAGTGAACTTGATTCTCTCTCCATACATCTGGAGTTTGATTCTCCCTCCCTCCAACCAATGCGCCAAGGGGATCAACTGTTAGTGGACTTGTTCATTGACTCTTTGGTGGATCAGCATACATTGAAATGGCTCAACTGGTGTCGGACCTTCCTTCACGCTGTCACTCTCTCCGATATCGTGAATGCTGAAGGGACAGCGATCACTCTGGACGCATGGAAAGGGATACGAGCAGATTACCTTGCTGACAGATACCAATGGCCCCGTACTGCTCGTCAGTCTAATCAGTGGTGGACTATGTGGCAGCAATGGATTTCTACTCACCTGACAGGCCACTCCAACTGACGCCGCCTCAGCTCCCCGTTAGGCCTGTGGCACTCAGCTGACTTGTCCTGGAAGTGGCAATACTCCCCCTCTACCAATACCCTGTTCCACCGCGAGGGTCAGATATGGATCCCATCTGAGCCTACTTCCTCCACTCGCCGCTTCAACCTGGATCTCCTACCTCTACCAGTGGACACTGTCCGCGCCTCGGTCTCTGTCTTCTCTAGCCGGTCTCCGAGCCACAAGAGCCGTGTCCTCCTCCACTCTACTGGCCCACACCAACCAGCCAAAACACATGCCCCCCCCTCATCTTCCATCCTTGATCTTTGGCACCAATTTGGCAGTCTGGCTGAGTCAGGTTCTCACGGCTGGGTTCCAGTGGTCATTACCATTGAAGGGAGTGAGGATCGCCTGGTTCAGGCCCTTCTTGCTGGTAACCTTTGTGTGGTGAGCGACGGCTCTTACAAAGCTAAAGTGGGCACAGCATGCGCTCAAATTCTCTCTGAGGATCGCAGGAATATCATCTGGATCACCTGCCAAACCCCTGGAAAATTTGAGGATCAGAGTTCAACGCGAAGCGAATTGATTGGCCTTATGGCTTCTCTCCTGGTATTGGAATGGATGGCTCAGCTTGCCCGACTGAAGCTCTTTGCCAGCCAACCTTCGGTCGAGATGGCCTGCGACGGCCTCATCGCCCTGGATAAGTCCTTCTCAGAAGCACATCTGTCCTCGTCTGGCGCGCAGTTTGACTTGGCCTCCACCATCCGGGCCTTGCTTCGCCACCTCCCTCTCCAAGTTCATTGGCGTCATGTCAAGATAAGCAGCGTCCTTTCTCTCAACTGGACTGGTGGGAGCAGCGCAATGTGGAAGTGGACTCCAAAGCACAAGCCTACCGCCGCCTGGTGGAGTCTACAGGCCAATCTGCTGCCTCCAACCCCCGCTTCTTCCATGAACCTGTGTCCTTATTCATTGATGGTGTTAAGTCTTCCAAACTGGATCAGGCTCACATCATGGAGCTGGTCTCTCTTCCTGCCCTTCGAGCATATTGGTCCTCCAAGGACCGCCTCTCCGAGCAGTCCATCCGTGAGGTCGATTGGTTGTCTCTGGCACGCGCCATGAAAGCCCTCCCGGCCAATCTTCAACGCTGGACACCCAAGCATATCTCCGGTATGCCAGGTGTGGGAAAATTCTTGGCCATTTGGAACCGTTCGGCAACAAGCTCTTGCCCCAGATGCTCCTCCTGCCCCGTGGAAGATCACCTCCATGTCCCACGCTGTTCTGCTCCTACTGCAGCTGCAGAATGGTCGAAACGCCATCTGGCCTTCCGGACCTGGATGCAGACCTAGCAGACCGCCCCAGAGATCGAAGCCTTCCTCTTTGAGTACCTGAAGACGGTCCGCCAGCCTTCCCTGGGAGTTCCCAACGTCCGAGCCTGGTCTCGCCAGCCTCATCTCTTCCAACGTGCAATCTCCTCCCAAGCCAAGCTTGGGGCCCAGGGCCTCCTTGAGGGCCTAGTGTCTCACAAATGGAAACACCTGCAAGCCCTTCACTTCTCCTACATCGGCTCCAAAAAGTCCGCCAACCTCTGGGCCTCCCGCCTGATCCAACAACTGATCCGGATCGGGCACTACATGTGGAAAGACCGCAACCGGCTTGCACATTCCGAAGACAGTTCCTGGTACACGGCTTGCAAGCGGGAGATTGACATTGGCATCCGCGAACAGTTCGCCATGGGCCTGATTGATATCCCCCAACGATCCCAGTACCTCTTTCGTGACTCCCGCGAAACTGTCCTCAACAAATCACTCGAAGATTGTCAACATGGGCTGCGCCTTGTCTCCTGTGAGCGAGCGATCAACCGTCGCTCTCTAGCCAGGCAACGCCAGATGATCTTCAACCTGGCGCACCCCGCCAACCCAACATCGACTCGGCCAACCGGCGCAAGTCCATAAACAGTCAGATGTCTCAGCCATCTCTCTGCCCCTCTATGTTTCACTCTCCCTCTGTCGACCACAGGACTAGGGAACCGCAGTCTGTGTTGGGAATTCACGTGCGCGTGTAAGAACTATTGAAGTACTGTTGGGACTAGCAAAGTACTTGTGGAAAATTCAGGTATATATGGATTAAAAGTGGTCTTCAGGCGTGACAAATAGATAGGATATACCGGTAGCTGGGTCAGAACCAGCTTGTCACATTTTTGAGGACCAGACTGGCTGTTTTAGCCAACAGTCTGTTACGTAGATGGTCGCCACATTGTTCTGGAACACTGTGCCACTGGGTTGCTCTCCAATTCCTTCGATCGATACACCCATGGCAGTAGGGCGCAAGAACAATTGGCTTCCCACCTGCTACACAATCATGCCCACCATCACCTTCAAAAACTCAAAAAACAAAATAAAAATACGCCGCCTCGAGTGGCAAGATCGTTTCTACATGTGCAAGGGTGCAATGTAATCTCCGAAAAGAGCAACTTCCTTGGGATTGGATGCCTCAAACTGTTTCAACAGTACTGGACTCACCTCCGTATGGTAAATGACCATGACAGCCGTTAATGGCAATCTAGAAACTTGAGATAGTTTTAATACAATTAATGCATCAGTTATATATATTTAGCGCTCAGAACAAACTCTCTGCAATCTAAATTCGTAATCGACTGTACAACACTTTCACGACAATTGTTCTCCTGTGTCTAGGTATACTTTGAGTGAAATTGTTCCTATTTGATTAATGTTTGGCTTGAATTGATGATTGAATCACAAAAGTGAGCTCAACAATTTTCCCTTGGAAAATCCTTTGTTTACAGAACTTGATTCGACTTCTACGACAATTCTGTGTTGAATGCAGTACTTTGGGACATCTTGCATTATTCCCTACTGCATCGTACACAACATCGATATTGCACTTGTATGGGATCTTTTCCTTTTTGTGTGGATACAGATTGTCCGACAGACTTGCGTCCAGCAGACTTGCGTTGAATCCGGACATCGTGCACGATCAAAGTCCGATCGCACGTGTCGAAAACATCGTACTTGAATAGTTTCTTTTGGAATGTAAAAACTCATATTTTGTCATATCCCAACAGTAAAGTCTCCAAGCACCACACAAGTTCCTTTCGGCGTGTCGTATGGATCAGAGACATGGACAGCCACTTCGCAATCACCCTATTAGCTTGAGTAGTCGTCAACTCCCCCAAATGATGCGTAAAGAACGGAACCAGTCCATTCAGCACATGCGTTGCCAAGGCAGCATATTTCAGCCTACTGATGAACAAGTAGGTCCCTTCCATATCACCGGGTAGCACCATGATAAACAAAGGACTAGGAACATTGTTCTCCAAGTCCATTTGTCTCTTCCTCTCTGCTTCCTTTGCACGGCGCTGCTGCGCAGGAGTGAGAACCGGACCATCATGCTCCAGAGTCGGTGCCACAGCCAACTTTGGAGGTTGCTTCTTGATCTTCGTCTTCCCTTTGACAGTCATTTTGGTGAACTTGTGAGAGACGTCCTCCAGCAAGGAGTCGTCAGAATCAGAGTCCAAGTTCACATCCGCAGCTGCCACTTTCTCCGCGTGAACTGGCCGGGCTTTGATGGAAAGAAACATAGACAAGCAAGTGCAAGGGCCAAAGGCTTTGGTCATTGCCTGTTTCAACATCCCTGGAATCTCAACTGGACAATATTTGGCCTGGGTCAGTTCCACAAAGTCGTTATGCTTCGAGATCATGGTGAGATTCTCATCCTTAACCGGACCCACGGCCTTAACGCTGATTGTCCCATTTTGAGCACCCTTCCAATCGCTGATGTAGTGGGTGACAGCGCACCATGGAAAATCTTTCTTGGGGGTAGACGGGTGAAACCATAAGCATAGTTCTCGATCCGCTCGCTTAGCGTCCTTCAATCGGACGTAAACATGCCACATCATGCATCCGGGCGATCGTTCATTCCACTTACTGTGGCCGTTGTAGGGAATGTTTACCCATTTGTACCGCAGGCCGATAACCATCTTCCAATTAAAGTGCCGCATTAGTTCTTTCTCCATAGCCCTGATGTTGATTTCCTGCGGGTAGAAGCATAAAGCCCCAATCTTTTTGATATCACCAAACTGTAGGACCAATTCATAGCATCCTGCTCCATATCCTTGCGGACGCAATTTGCCGTGTAAGTATTGGCAAATTGTTCCTTCCGCCACCTCGACCTCAAAACCCACTTTCATCCTTGTACAAAGCTTCTTTTCACCCGGCTTATTAGAAGTCGAAGCATATGACATGTTGCCAAAAGACATGTCCAGATACTTGGACAGGCTACGGTAGTCGGGAATCAGCCGCCGAAGGTCTGCTTCCGTTCGGATCCACTGCTTAGACTTCTTCTAAGCGCTGTCAGACAAGGGAAGAAAGCGAATCGTCTCCTCCGTGTTCTTTAGGACGTCTGCCAATGTATCCAGAATATGGTTCAATATAATAGAGGCGTGGGTCTTATTTCCCCCTTGTTGGCCTTGATAGTTGTATGGCATTCCTAGTGCAACCAGAATAGCCTGGCCGTCCATGCCGTCCAAATTGACTTGGCGCAACCCATCTAGGCGTTCGTGCAGTGTCAAGCTGCGTTGTAGTCTGCGTTTGGCTTTAGAGCTTTGCTTCGTGGAAGTAGTGTCCGTTTTCTGTGCGGGTTTGTTGGTTGATTGTGAAGCAGACACTGAATGTGTACGTTTAGCACCGGCTTCACTGAAAGAGCCCCCGTCCACCTCCATTTCTGTTGGCTGATCCACCACGGAAACCCTGTGGGACCGTCCCTTCTTCCTCGGCGGGGACGCCAATTCGGGATCCTTGTCTTCACCGGTAACGCCGGTCAATTCGGAAACTGCCTTGTTGGTATTCGGGCCCATGTTGTCGTTGTCATCATCTTTATCATTATCCGTAGTCTGGTAGGTACTTTCCACAAGAATGACAGAATCCTTGGCCGATTCGTCAGTATCATCGTCATCCTCCTCCCCAACGTCCTTGTCATCGTCATCCTCGTAAATGCCATCATTGTTGGAGTCAAGATCGTCATCTATGTCCATGTTTTTCCTCCTGTCGTTTGGATTGTTGTCCACTGTTTTGTCAGAGTCCCACCTGTTGGGTTGGCCGAACTTATTGACAAGGCCAGTGTCCTTGTCCCCCGTCGGATCATCTTCCTCCTCAGAATCCTCGTAGTCAGGATCGAATATCTTTTTGACCCCCTTGTGAATCTCCACCTTAAATGCAAGGTATTGGGGATGTCTCGAGAACTTCATCGAAAAGCATCGTCCATGGATGATCAAAAATTGAAGCGCACATCAACCAAAACTGCACCAGATTCGTCCGATCATATCTCGAAAAATACAGATCTTCTTGCGGCACTTTGGAATCGTTCACGAGGCCAACATCAAAAAAGGAAATCGGAATCTGCTGGGCGACTTGCAATGCAATTGCTCTCACCCCATGTGTATTCTGTATTTTTTTCACATTTCCCAAAGCGCCATCATCAAAAAGCGAAATTAGGAATTTCAACACTCGCCGCCAATCGTTTGCATATTGAGCGAATAGCATGTTAACCCTACCTTCAATTGAATAGTTAGCGTAGAGGTCCTTGAACGGGCTGTCAAACCTTGGGAGCGCTTGAGTCCACCGATTGTTATGATTTTCCATCCATTGATTGAAAATGGAGTTGCCAAATGAAATCTTAGTTGAATTATAGTCGTAGCCGATAGCAACCAAGTCGTGAGTAGATAAACCAAAGTCAATCAGTGGTGGAAGAGATGCAATCAGCTCTTGAATCTCCGAATCATTGTTGACACTAGGATCCCTATCCTTAGGTTGACGTAAATCAACTGCAGATGCATTTTCCAATCTTTTCTCTCCGCTCTTTTTGGCGACAGAAACCGATTTGGGTGTGGACCCGCCCGCCTTGTTGGCAGTCGTTGAGACAACCTTCAATGATGTAGACTTCCCCATTGTAAAACAATGAAATGCCGTTGAATTGATAAAAGCTTCAGCAAGTTCTACGTAGATTCTAGTACTTAGGCTACGAAGACCGTTTGCAAATCGGTTTGGTGCTTTTCGTTTTTCGTTTTTTCTTTTTCTATTCAGTCCACCAGAGGAATTGTACCAACACAATCGAACAATTACCGTCTGTATTGATCACATGGAGATCGGAGATGCTAAGTTTCTCACCTGCATTGATACCACTGTGCGTTATCGCTCATGTATTCCCATGCAGAACCTCAAGACTGACCCTGTATTTGACGCATTGGATAAGATATTCCGCCGCTACAATAAGGCAAGCTTTCATGTCAAGACGATCAGGTGTGATCGGGCTTTGATCCCTCTGACTTTCCCCAGAAAGACAGTATTTCCTCAAATTTCAGTCCGCAGCAACTCATTGATAATGTCAATATCAACTACAAGAGTGACATGGTTGCTGAGCTTGGGCAGTATGTTCATGCAATTGGGACGGATTCCAACAATTTGATGGAACCGCAAAGTAT